TTGTCTTTCAATTGATATAAAAGGGCAATAATTGTTGGTTCCTCAGAATGGGTTGTATCCAAGGTATAATGCCAAGAGAAAAAACTGGACAGTAGTTGATCTGTTAATGATGGCATGATGTACCACAAGTGCATCTGAAATAACTGCCATGAACATCATTTAACAACAAAATTATAACAAATGCTGGATTTTATACAAGCAGTAGAGGCTTTATACTCTCATATCACTGGATACAACCTACTGTTCTTTCTTTGTAGAGAAAATTCTAGGTCATGAAAATTTAATGCCTTTTCCTTTTTTTAAATAGTTAATATCTTTGTATACTGTGGTTGACATAAGTATTCTAGCACTCTTCAGCTTTGTTTCAGCTTTGTATAAGCAAGAACATATGTAGATAAAATAAGAACATTGTCTCAATAATAGCTTCCAAACTATAGTTTTGTGTTTGCAATACTATCACAACAATACAGAATGGTTTTAATCAAAGGAAAAGCAACAGAACAGATTATCTGGGAATAAGTATGAATTAAGGAGATATCTGGATATATCTGTTTTAAAGGATATTTTGGCACATTTTACTTGAACAATCAAAACGGTCATAAGTAATTTCAACTTCCATAATTCCTAGTGAGTATAAGCATAGCAATGCGGAAGTTAGCATAATTTGTAAGCGGTCATAAAGAAGTAATTTCATCTTCCATAATTCCTAATATAAGCATAGCAGTTTTGAAGTTAGCATAATTTGTAAGGGTCAATTGAAACTAATACTCAATAATGACCATTAATACCTGGGAAATCAGTCCATTACAACTAGACCTCAAAATAAATAAGTCTTAAGTAAAAAAAAAATACGCCAAGGATAGAAAAACTTTCAGAGCTTTACAATTGGATTTCTGTCCTCATAACTTTGCTTAAAAAGAAAAACAGGTTCACTTTTACATTTTATCTGAAATATTGTCTTAGTTGCAAAGTGAATTTTGGATATGTGTTTATAATAGCTACTAATTATTTTTGTGCTACTTAGAAGGCATCAGCAATTCCACATGTGTAAAACCTGATTTAAAATGACTTTTTAAATCTGATAGTATTTACAGTAATTCAGTAATTTTTGGGAGTCCCTCACCAGGTTTACTAAGTGTATCAATCTTAACGTTATAAAACAATTGGTTCTAATCTTCAGTTCTAATGAAACATAGCTTTTGTAAAACTTAATTTGAAATTCAAAAAGAAATCTAACATAGCTATTTGAAAGTAAAACAAAAAATTAATATGGACTAGAAGACCTCCAAAGTTCCTTTCCGCCCTTTGATTCTAATAATGTTAAGTGGGAAACATTACAAAATCAAGACAAACAGGCTAGTATGGGACCATCTTCCCTACATCATTTTGACAATCAGGCAAGATGAAGATGGCACAGTGGGAATTTAATGAATAGATTTGTAAATCGTATTTAAATTACAAGTATGAAACTCAAAATAAAATATCCCTCTGGTCTTTATAAATTAGAAAAATGGCCATAGAAGTATTTTTTTAAAGCCTTAGAGGCCTTATGACCTTACATATTCAAATTTTTGAAGATATATTTTTTACAAACTATTTAGAAACACTTGTAAATATGCTTTACTGCCCTTTGGATGCTTAGTGGTGCTAAGTAATAACTGTAAAACATCACAGTTGTAATTCTGCAAATCCTAAGGTATCACATATCTTACTATGATACAATAATGCTGACTTGCCTAAATATTGAGAATATATATGTGCTAGGGCATATGGTCTGGTGCTTATTAATCTATCTTTAAGCAAAAATGTACCACTGAGTTATCTGGATACTGGTCACTATTCTAACATTCTATGGAAGTGTGCTGGCAATTTATTTTAATTTTTAACTATTAATTGTTGTGGTTTTTTTAAAATATAATTACTACCATATTGTAAATCTGTCACTAAAGCATTGTTAAAATAAATATTTCAACATAGTTGGTGAAAAATATAGAAACTGGATTCTTGATGTAGTGTTTTTGTGTTGGTTATATAGTTCAAATAATTAAAATTATCCCATGTGTAAAAAGCTGTATTTACCACTGGATATTGTTTCTATAATAGCAACTAATCATGTGTTTCTTGAAACATTAAATTTTGTCAATTCTAATGCAAAACTCTCCCCTTTCTATCACTGCAGTGCTGAATAATTTTGTTGTTGTATCAAAATTCATAAAGCCAGCTTTCCTGTAATGAGACAAAATAATCTTTTTAATAAAGTTATAACCTGGGGATATGATATCTTGCATATTTGAATCACCGTAGAGTTGCTTACTATGGAAATATTTAATACAAAATAATAAATTGTTAGTAATGTACCATGTCAATAAGAGTGAGCTTCAAATCATGGCAACTGTACTTTAAAATGTTTAATAATTATGGTGTTGATCAAACACTATTACTTTTAAGGTTTGTTGGCTGATAAAACCTTGTCAATTCTCTAGTATCCAGAGTGGATTCATTACTACTAAAAAAGGGTCACAATAGAGATCTTTAAAAAAATCCAGGTGTGCTTTGCAAGATACAAGTGAGGGAAGGAAGAAGACCATTACTGAAATTATGGATATATCAACTTAGATACTTTTCAGAAATAAGTAAATATGTATTTTAATTTGTATTGTAAATCTGAAAAAAGTGTGCTAATTGGCCTGGAAGAATTAAACTATAAACACAAATTTTAGTGCTGAGCATTTTAATTTACAAAATGTAGAAAAGGAATATTATAATTTCCAAACAATAAAGCTAAGAATTTAGATGGGTGATCATTTGTAGGCTAGTGATTATCTTAAAGGTAATGGCAAATCCCTTCTGCATTGTTCCTAAAAAACTAAAAGGATTTTGAAGTATACTCTCTTGGTGCACAGCATTCTGGCACAGCCTAAAGGTAAACTCATCAGTTTGCCTTTTGGAAAATGTAAGTTCTTTGACTTGCTATGCCTTCTATGGCAGTGTTAACTAACAACCAACTCCAAAAGATTAAAAATTTGTATTAAAAACTATGGCTAATTACTATTGCTGCCATTGCTACTAAGACAGATACATAATGCAGTATGGTTTTTTTCAGTTCAAATGCTAATACTCAACACCTAATTGAAACCACTCCAAGAAACACCATAAATTGCTATAAATTTATGACTACTAATGAAACTATATCTAGAGTGTTACAGCAAGTTATATGCAGCTTTCAATGACTAATTCTTGTTTTATATCATACATAAATCTCTAAAGCATGTATCATTCCAATTTGACATACAGCCTAGGCATAGCCCATGGGTGTCAAACTGGATTTCATTGAGGGCTGCATCAGGATTGTTTGACTTTGGGGTGTGGAGGAATGGCCAGGGTGGGCATGGGGAACGACATCACATCTATCGGGGACGCCTGTAGTGACCCGAGCGCTCTACAGCGTGGCCCTCCTGAGTTCTGTTTTCACCCAGCAAAGGGTCGTAGGAGGCCATCGCAGCCGGCCCTCTCAAGCTCCATTTTTGCTGGCAAACATCGCTGTTTACAGGGCAGCCCCACAGGCCAGATCTAAGTACCCTGGGGGCCAGATCCAACCTGCAGGCTTTAAGTGTGACACCCCTGGCATAGCCTATGGCCAGCCCCACAAATAAGGAAATAGGAAGCACTTTCACTGTATGAACTATGTGGGAGTTTTTAACAAATCAGAAGTTCAGCAGCTTGTGAAAAACTTCCCTGAAAATGCACTCCATTTAAATGTAGATACTCAAAAGAAATTCACATGGTTATCTTTTTCCAGTTGTAGATGAGAAACATCTAGAATTCTGGCAAATTAGAAATGCTCAGGGTGGGGTACATGAGTACAGGTAGTCCTCGACCACAATGGAGTTCAAAATGTATGCTGCTAAGTGAAACATTTGTTAAATGAGTTTTGCTCATTTTATGAATTTTCTTGTCACGGTTGTTAAATGATCATTGCATTTATTAAGTTAGTAACATAGTTGTTAAATGAATCTGGATTCCCTATTGATTATGCTTGTCAGGTCACAAAAACTGATCACATGAGCCCAGGACACTGCAACTGCCATAAATATGACCCAGTTGTCAAACATCTGAATTTTGATAATGTGACTACTGGGTATGCTACAATGGTCATAAGTTTAAAAAATATGACCATTGTAACATTGGATGCCACTGTAACTTTGAATGGACTTTGTGTGCTGTTGTAACTTTGAACAGTCACTTGATGAACTGTTGTAAGTTGAGGACTTTCCTGTACAAATTGTAGTTTCAATGTGGTTCTTTGTAAGAAGTCTAAATCCGTTAAACCTGGTCACCTATCAATCTGTAGGAAGGAAAAGTTTAGGAAAAGTGGAAGGGAATAATTTAAATAATTTTTCTACTGTAATAATATTCTACAATAAATCTATTCTTATAAAAGAATGTTTTTATAATCAATAGGCTGTAACATTTTAGTCCATATTACTCCTGATGGTACCATTCAATGTATACACAACCAAATATGTCAAGCGAAAGCATTTGTTAAAGCAGTTGTTTATTTAAAACAAAGGATATGTTTTTCAAGAGACACAACATGAAAGTTGTGTTTATTTCAAGGATGGGGAAAAAATCTTTCTAGAGAAAAAATAATGTAGCCAAAATTCTTGTCAACTGCCATTGAAATTCATGATTTGTGCATCAACTTTAATATACCTAGGTGAGGGAACATGTGTTTGAAAACAATAATGAAATGTAGGTAATTATTCTCTCCCTGACCCCCAAAAACTTCCTTGCATGCAGATATGTGATATAGCAGTAGCAGAGTCATGGAAGTGAGGTGGAAAACCATATAAATGGTTAAAATAAAATAAAAACTAATCTAAAATGGCAAATGGAACTAAATCAGCTCCCAATTGAGCAGTTTCTATGAAATAAATACCAGAGTAAAATATTAAGACAGCCAACTAAACACTTAGATAAATCTTTTGCTTACTACTTAGAAAGTGATAAACTTTTAGTTTATTCTGAGTTTTAAAAAACTTCGTAGAAATAAACCTCCATCACATTTTATGAATTCATTCCAATACATTCCTATTTTAACTTCCTAGATAGTACTGATAACAAGGCATATTCCAATGTGATCACCTTTAAATGATACAGGAAAATTAAATGTAAACATGAATAATTTGTTTCCTTTTCTCCTCATGCAAATTATAAATATATAAGGCAGATCCACTCAAACAACATTTATTGTATTTCCTTCTTCCATTAGTTATAAAAACTATAAAACCATATTGATTAATATTTAGAAAATATGCAATTATCACAATTTAGTTACACAGCATATAGGTTTGGCGCAAAGCAAAGTGATGTGGAATGTAGATCCATGCTCATCTGTCAGTCTTCACTCTTGAGTTAGATGCTCATGACACACTGAATGAACTGCCAAAAGAAGAAATTATATCAGGTATAGTTTGTCATCACAATCTTTTTTATGCAAATATCCATTGCAAGATTGCTGTAGTGCAGGGATAGAGGGACTCTATGAATGTTCAGCAGTTCAGACTCTTTATTTCTAAAACTCTGTAATGCTTGATGTGAATTGAAAATTAGGTTTTAAATTAGACTCCAACAATAGATCTTTACAATTACATGGACTTCTCATTTTTAATATTGTAAATCATTTAAAACCAACTGGAGAATATTATGGCGACCACTTAATGGTGTAGTCAATGCAGTGGCACTTTCAAATACCATCTTGCAAATTCTTGGCAAAAACCGTAATTCTTGCCAAGAAAGACTGACGCTCTTTAAGATACTGATATATATTGCCTGACAGCTTATACATCTTTTAATCACTTTGCTAACTACTAGAAATGTACTTGACCTCTTGGAGGAGTGAGGGAGCAAGTTAGGACTTCAATAAGAAGAACTAAGACTCACAGACTAACATCCAGCATGAATCTAGTGCAATCCGGCATGTGACATGAGACAGTCTATTGGAAAATGCCTGACACTAAACCTGAATAGCACATGTAGCCTGCTTTGTATACAAAAAAACACTAGGCTCAATTGAGAGTATTCCCAAGTAACGCTGGAAAGGAGCCCCCCAAAATCCAATATTCAAAAGCTACCAGAATATTGAATTATTGCCACTACCTGCGTTTCCCTAAAAATAAGACTGGGTCTTATTGTTTTTTGGGCGCCAACATAAGGGCTTATTTACTAAGGTCTCTTTATTTTTTCTCCATGGTCAGGAGGCCCACTTCTTGTGCTTGCTCAGCAGTGCCATCGCAAGGCAGGGGTGGTAGAGGCGCCTCATGCTCTCTCCACTGGATTACTGGCTTACCTCAGGGCCCCCGCAGTCAGACCACCCACGCCAACACCTGTCTTTCCTCACAGCTGCAGCCATAACACATCACTTGGCTTCCTGCTCCATTGCAGCTGCGAACAAGCAGAAGAAGGGGGCTGGCGGCCACCTGGGCTCCTGCTACAAAAGGGTGCTATTGCTGCTGCTGCAAGACAGGTATCGGGGCAGGGATGGCCTGGTTGCAGGGGCCCCGAGGTAAGCCAGCGAGGGGCATGTTGAGCCATTTCACCACCCTCAGGAGGTGCACTGCAAGCAACCAGATAGAATGGGTGGCTGGCTGGGTATGCAGGCTCTTAAATAGGGCTTATTTTGGGGGTACAGCTTATAATTAGGCACAAAAGTAAAAACATGCAAGGGCTTATTTTTGGGATAGGTCTTATGTTTGGGAAAAGAGGGTAGCTATAAACTAGTTACTTCCATTCTGGTGCTCCAATCGTATTAACTTCTAGAATTCTCGCCTCTTGCCATCAGAAATCTGGGAACTAAAATACACATATGTATGTACCTATTTGGGAAAGACTGATGTAGACTAGGCATTTTAGGGCCACAGGCAACCTCTGACCTTTTGTTCTAATCCAGCCAGGAGTGGCAGCCGTGTGTGTGTGTGTGTGTGTGTGTGCGTGCAAGAAGGACAGTCTTCCAAAACAGTCCCAATTTTTCATGTGACCCCCTTGGGAAGATTTATTGCCCACTTCTGGTGTAGGCAATAAGGTGTTAGGCTGATCATATTAAGATACCATTATCTGGGAATAGCTTCTAATGAAGGCAGGGGCACAGCTATACGATTTTATAAAAAAGTTCAATGGAAGAAGGGATATCTAATATTAAAACTAATTTCAACAACCAATACCAAAATCACTGTTCATAGCTCTTAAGGAAAAACATATTTTGCATCTCTAGCTGGAAAGACCTATTTAGAACCACTTACATCATCATATTGGAAATTCACCATCCCTTGCTGGGCTGCATCCCTTCTTCGAAAACTATCTGTAAAGAAACAAAATAAAATAAAACAAAATGAATTAGTTGGCAAATCACATGTTAGAAGAAAAACATAGTCTATTATAACACTCTGTTTTAGAAAAACCAACTAAAAGTTGACAAACACAAGAAATTGTTTTTTTAACAATAGCAATAGCACTTAGACATATAAAAGTTCACAGTGTTTTAGTCTTCTCTAAGCGGTTTAAAGTCAACCTATTGCCCCCAACAATCTGGGTCCTCATTTTACCAACGTTGGAAGACTGAGTCAGCCATGAGCTGGTGAGGATCGAACCCCTGGCAGTCAGCAGAATTAGCCTGCAATACTGCATTCTAACCACTGTACTACCATGGCCCCGAATCAATGATCTACTCATTAATTTAGGCCCAAGGATTAAAATATTAATAAACAAGTTTCACAACTTGTAAACCCACAAGTTCCAATCCCTTATCAATCAAAGACAAAGATTTCCCTTTCCTAGATTTGATGCTCTTAAAAAAATGTATCAATATGTTTTAACCTGGAAGAAAGATTCAGAAATAGAATAAGATACTTCAAATACTGGAACATTTTCAACATCATAGAGAAAAACAATTTTGGAGTAAAATTATTAATACAAGATCTGATGAGTTTAAGCTACTATGAGATTAAAACTCAGTTGAACATCAAGCAAAACATTAATGATGTTGGGCTAGCCATCCAGAAAAGTCTTCATCCAATGATTGAGAAACCTTTTGTTAAAGATGGTTTAAATTTGTTTTCCTAAGATAAATAAGTTAGCTCATTTCATCTTACTTTGTGTTTCAGAAAAAAAACCTTTGAATTCAGCAATTATTGTGAAATAAATCATACCAGTAAGAGCTCTGAGTTTTACACAGCAGGCTATATAGTCATCAAAACTGATCTTCCCACGACAGCTGTATCGTTTCACAATTCCATTGATGGCCTGTGGACTCAATCTAAATCCTAAATAAATAAAAGGCACAAAAGAAAGCAAATATGTTGAATATCCTATATCAGAAATGTCCTTTATTGGGTAATGTGTATTCAGGTAGGACAAAAACACAAGATGACTGAAAAAAATAAGTTGGACAGTTACTTTACTGCGAAATAGAAGAGCAATCTCTAGCATCAGTTTTATTCAAAATTATGTTTCTAGAAGCCTGAGAACAACAGGAAGTCCTGCAAAATGAGATTATGAAAGCATAATTGATAACAATCTTTACCAAAAAAAAAAAAAGGAAGCCTCCAAGGAAACCAAGTGGATATATACAGAACTTCTAAAATGCTAAAAGAAAATGGAATGATGTACAGCTCCAAAAGAAAAATTAACAAACAGTCAAGCCATGGTTGTTGCTAGAACTATACCAAATCTATTAATATTTCTGGATCTAATTGAAAGTGCTATTCCTATTCAACTCTGTCTTGGTCAGTCGCCTTGTGGAATACTATATTTAGTGCAAAAGGACTACTAACAAATTTTAATGCAGAGAATAATTTCTCTGAAATGATAAAAAGTGAAAGCTGATGATTAATGGTTAAGAGAACGGAGTATATGTTGCTTGCAGAACAGAAGATTGAGAAGAGGTATATTAACAGTTTCTATTACTACAGAAACTACAGAGTTTTACAAGGATTAGACTAGATGAAACTTCCCCCGTCTAATGGAATTTTAATACAAATGGAGAATTCTGGAAGTTTGAAGTCCTGAGAAATCAGAAGAATTACAGGTTAGGGGAGATTTGGGATTCTTCTGTAGCCATTAATCCCAGCCAGACAAAAGCACCACCACTCACCCATAGACAACAATGCTTTTTGCAGCTCCTGAGAATCAACTGTGCCACTGCGGTCTGCATCCACACTCATAAAATGCTGCCTCCAGCCATTCAGTATAGCCCAAAGCTCTTTAAATTCATTGAAGCCCATTGTGCCAGACATGTCTCTCTGGATTATTGTTAAGGATCAAAAACACTAATAGTAAAACAAATGCAAAATACTCTGTATTGTTACAGGATTGTAGCTCTGATAACAAGGGGAGATGATCACTCAGGACTTACTTTTGTGTTGAAAAACCATTGAATTCAACTGCAATTCTTTGCACCTTTTGGAGCAAAATCTATGAAAATCAATTTATTTCTTCTCAACACACACACACTAACAGAGCAAAGGATATCAGTGAAACACTTTAATGGAAAAATAATAGCTAATTTTTTAAAGTATATGCCGAGTCTACTCAATTACCAATGAAACATTGATTTCAAACAGTTTCAATACAACATAATCACATTGGCTATCCCATAGATAAAAATTTACACGGAGAGAAAAGTTTGTTTATTAAAACTCTTCTGCTATGGACAATTTTACATAGTGCAGATTTCACTCTCTAATCTACAAAATGGTCAGAATAACAGAGTTGGAAGGGACCTTGGAGGTCTTCTAGTCCAACCTCCTGCTCAGGCAGGAAACCCTATATCATTTTGGACAATTAAAAACCTCCACTATTCAATCACTCACAAATTCTAAAAGCAAGTGATTAATTGTTCTAATTGTCAGGGAAATGGAGGGGAGGGAGAGCTCATAATATTCTATGTAAAAGCTAAAAGTGATTTCAGCTGCCAAAGTGTCCTCTCCATTACCTGAAAGCATTTCTTCCAATCCACAAATGCATTAGAAAGCGGAATTAGACAAATGAAGGATACATCAAGCATGGAGATCATGAGTCTGCAAGTTTCTAAATTAAAGGCTGTTTTAAAAAACAGGACAGTAAGTAACAAATAAAGATATCAAAACTGTCACTAATTAATGTGTATTATTTGCCTCTGTAATAATAGGAAAACAATTTTTAAAACAGAGCAACACTTTCCAAAATGCTATGAAATTTCCACCGATTCAAATACAAGTAAAAGGTCCTAAATAAAATTGATTACTTTATCAAATCGAACTTGACCATTAACTATAGATAATCCATTAGTTATAAATTCATTTAGTGACTATTTCAAATTATGACATTCCCAACTATTTACAACACAGTCCTGAGGTTACTAATGTTGCAGCACCATGGTAGTTGCTCACCCTTACGAATGACTGTAGAGCCACTGAAACATTTGTCCTGCCTATTTCCCCACCCCCACCCCACATCCCCACTGGATCTCCAAGGCACTGGGCCTGTGTAGACTCACTTACCTTGCAAAGATCTAGTGAACTGTGTCCTCTCCAGCCTCTCTGCTGCAGTTTCTTTGTTTGCATCCCTGCAGGTTCTGGTTGTCTTTGTAAACCGTTTTTGGCACAAAGAACTAAAGCTGGGAAAGGTGCATATAGTACTCCTGGCTCTGTTCTTCACGCCAAAAGCCTTGAGAAAAGCCAGAGAAGCCTCGGAGGCGTGAATGGTTGCATCCTGTGGGCTTCAGTCATCTTTGCAAAAAGCTTTTGGCATGAAGAGGGGTGTGCGCATGTTCCTGGCCTCCATTTTTCACGCTAAAAGCTTTTTCACCAAAAGCAAAGACAACCAGAGCCTGCCTAAACACAATCACTTGCCCACACACGGTTCAGCTGCTTTTCAAGGCTTTTGGCACAAAGAACGATGGCTATCAGTGTGTATGCTCCCTCCCCGCCTCCGTTCTTCGCACCAAAAGCTTTTTGCAAAGACGACTGGAGCCTGAAGGGATTCAGGCAAAGAAACCACAGTAAACAGACTAGAGAGGACACAGTTCGCTTGATCTTCCAAAGGTAAATGCCTGTGGAGACCCAGTAGGGCAGAAAGGAAGGGGAAAACATGAAATACTGTATCTCAGTGGGTCGGGGGGGGGGGACCTTGGATGGTCAGAAGCACTACCTGGTTTCCCACCCTGATGCACCTCATGTGCATCTGAGCATTTGATTAACTAATGCATTGGGTAAATCAGGGAGTGATCAAGTTCAATTGAATTTGTTGGGTTATGAAAGTTACGAATGTAATTGACAGGCTCTATTACATTAGTAAATTGAGGACTACCAGTATAAGGACATGTCTGTTAGGAATATAATCTAATGGTTGGGTTGGCAATACATAAATCATGTAACAAGGCTATTCTGGTTTCTTTAAATCATATTGTGAAATGTGATTGGTTGGTGTTTTTCCTCAATCGGCCATAAGAAGGAGCCAGAATGACTGTTAGCTCTCTGTTTGTTAGATGCTGGGCTGATCTGATCTGAGTGTTTTGGAAGCTGGCTGTTAGAAAGTGCCATGAGCTATTGTAAGTTTTGCAACTGCTAGCAAACTTTGAGTACTGAACAGATGATATGATACTGGACTATGTTATTTGGATTATCCCTTAACTGAAATACATTGATAACTGACTGTCTTATCCGTGTATGACTTGGACAATTTGATGGACTCTGATACCTCTATTTTCACGAAAGTAAAAGCCTATTTAAACTGCAGTGCCTCTGTATGCTGGCTTGTGTGTTCTCCAATACAATTCTCACAACACTTCTCTGAACGCACTCGCTCTCACAGCGGAGAGCTTACCTAACAATGTCCATGTTATTTTCACAGCAACATGTGGAAGGGGTTGATTGTTGCTTTCTTCCAAAATGCTTTTTTAAACTTTCCAGTCTATTCTACTAACCTGAACTTTCATGGTGTACTTCGATCACAGTATTAATCATATCTGGCCATGTCAAGGTAATGAGTTGTGATCTACAATACCCATAATGCCAAACCACGGTCAAGCTAAGCGGGTCATGTGGGAATTCAACTAATCTTTGACTTCTCATTCAAGGATCCATGAAAATTTATATTACAGTTAAAGTCTTATACATAGGAGTGTTATTTAATTTGCTAAACTTACGTTTATAGGAACCAGCAATTCCTGACTGAGTCAGACATTTTTGTAGCTCATCAGCATCTATTTGCCCATCCTTTGAAAACACAAACAATGTCAATCCAGCTTTATTTTCTCATGCCCCAAACATTTCTCCTTTTCCCAACAAGATAGTAGGTATTACGGGATCAAGGACATGATCAGATTGTGACATATGAATGGGGACATTCATATATAGTGCTACTTGGGCATAAAAGAACAAACAGGAATGTTCTCTGTGTCCTTGGCAAGGAAATCTCTGATCCTTGGTTGCAACAATTGTTATACAATTCTTTCCAGTATTCTTTCTTCAATGCAACCATAACAAGTGTAAATTACTGCTTTCCATTCAGATGAATGAATGGTGGAGTGCAGCTGTGAAGATATGCCCACTGAGGAAAAAGTATGCAAAATTAATCAGTTGATAATAAAATAAAGGCAAGACATATACACACTTCAAAAAAAGAGCTATATTGTACGTTCCTTAATCCATTTTTATACTTTGCAAAAGACACATTTTATATTTTGAATAAACGTAAGAAACATTGCATAACCAGTTAAAAATTAATTAACAACATATATCTGAATCAGCAATCTTGTTATCATAAGATAGAAAAATCATACCTGCCCAGCTACTGCAGCAAAATAACCATATAATGGATCTTGAGCCTGACCAGGAAATGCTGGTCCACCTGGAGCACTTCCATACTAGAAATGGAACAAAATACAAGTATTAATTTTTTTACTAACTTAAATTGCATATAACCAAAATACATGAATATTTAAGAAGCATTTAAAACAAATATGGTTTCAATAGACTGACATAGACCATTCTATGTCTGACTGCATGCATCAACAAATACTTTACATTATCCAGAAAAAGGTCAATTTAATCCATCAGAATGCAGAATAACGGGAAAGGCTCATGGGAGTCTTTTAATCCAACCCCCTGATGAAGCCTATACCAGTCCAGATAAATGGATGTCCAATCTCTTCTTTAGAATCCCTAGTGATGGAGCACCCTCAATTTCTAAAGCAACCCATGTTCTGGAGGCAATCAATGTTTCCTTTGGTACTTTATATACTGTATTTTCCGGACTATAAGATGCACCAGAGTATAAGACGAATTGTGATTTTGAAGGGGTAAATTTTAAAAAAAGGTTTTGCACTCTGCAGGCCTCCCGTCAGCTCTGTTTCACTATTTGCTTTCAGCTGCCATTGAAACTGGGAGGGGGGGTATTTGGGAGGGGATATTTTGGTACAGGAGACATTGTTAAGAGGGAGTTTTGTTCTCACCATCTACTGTGCATGCTGATGGCTGATGTTTAGAGTTGGTCAAGGCCAACCATCCTGCATACCAACCTGATGATGCTTCTTGGAGATGCAACCCACATAATACCTGAGGGATTTGCAGATTGGACAATGAGATGGGGGTTACCAGGGAGAGGGAGTTGGACAAATATTGATATGTATGATTTCACGCGCTTTTGCCTCAGTCCTTGTTTTAATTAGCTGCTATCTTTTCATAAACAGTAAAAGTACTCTTAGCTCTGCAAAATGGAGTTGAGTGGTTTCTTTCTTGGTTGCTGAAGGAGGCCAGCTTGACATTAAGCAAGGTTTTGCACTCATCTCAGAGCTAACACCTTCTGAGGGGAGTGTAATAAAACCAAAACATTCAAAGGAATGTCCAACCTAGTGACCAGGAGGATGACATGGTGGCGGCCGGATCCTCGTGTCCCTTGGAGACGGAGCAGATGGCGGAACTGAATTTGGAGGAAAGGTCCGTCCGCCCCAGGTGGTCATTGAGATTGGGACAGAAGTATGACCCTGAGGAAATTCCGGCTGGAGTTACAACAAGGTAACATCGGGTGGCCGCTCCTTTATTGTTTCTTTAAGAAAAGAAAGATGGCTCTTTTTGTCTACGTCAACTACAAAAACCTCAACAGTATTTGCATAGAAAATGTATACCCTCTCCCGCTAATGAAGGACATGTTGGCCCAATTGGTTAAAGGAAAACTCTTCATGAAATTGGACCTAAGAGAGGCCTATTAGAGTCAGAATCAAAGAGGGAGATGAATGGAAAACTGCTTTCAACTGTCCTTTGGGATGTTTTCAATTCAGGGTACTCCCTCTTGATCTGCAGGGGGCGCCAGCAGTTTTCATGCAATTAATAAACAAAGTTTTATATGAACACCTGTACAAAGGTGTGATGGTCTACCTTGACGACATCCTTATCTACATGGAAACACGTGATGAACACGTGACTTTAGTGCGATCAGTACTCAAGAAACTCTGGGTAGCTGAACTTTACGCCCAATTGTTTAATTTTAATTTCATTAAGAGAAGATTGATTACCTTGGCTACTGTATCTCCCATAATGGCATCAAGATGTGTGCGGCAAAAGTCCAGGCTGTCACTGAGTGGGCATCTCCTCGCACCCGCAAACAATTACAACTTTTTTTGGGATTTGCGAATTTTTATCGTCAATTTATTCCCTCATTCACCAGCATTGCTCTGCCCATTACAAATCTCCTAAAATCTAAAGGGGAGGCCAAACCCAGACCGGGTAAGCCTTTGAATTGGACTAAAGCGACTCTTTGCAGCTGAATCTATTTTGAAACACCCGGATATGGAGGCACCATTTATCGTTCAAGATGATGCCAGTGATGTGGCGGTGGGGACAATATTACTTCAAATGAACGCTGATGGAAAATTGCGGCCATGTGCCTACACCTCATGTAAGCTTAGAGAGACAAAGAGGAGATGGGCTATATGGGAAAAAGAAGCTTTTGCTGTCAGATGGGTTTTGATGACCTGGCGACATTTCCTAGAAGGGGCAAAACACCCTTTTGAAGTATGGACTGATCATAAAAATTTGGAGGCATTGAAAACCCTGCATAAAAACAGGTGTGTTGGGCATAACACTTCAACTGTTTCAACTTTACCCTCAAGTACATTCTGGGGGGGGGGGAGAACTTCATGTCTGATGCCTTGTCTAGGCTTCCCCAGTACAACAGCTCTAAGCTGAGCGTTCACCAGTCATCCCAGCAAAAAGTCTGGCTGTCCCGGTGGTTACTAGGAGCCAAGGCACAGCAAATTTAGAGGTCACTACAGACCTAATGTACAAACTCAAGGAAGGCCTTGAGTCCAATGACTGGTTCAAGGACATTCAAACGAATGCACCATGAAAGATGGACTGGCGTGGGGAGGAGCTAAATTGTATGTTCCTGCTGACCTGAAACCTATTCTTCAACGGACCCAAGATTCGAGAATGGTGGACCATTTTGGATCTGTAAAGACTTTGCATCTGATTAAGAGGCAATTTTGGTGGCCTTCATTGAAAAAAGACATTGAGTACTACACAGCCAGTTGTCCCATTTGTGCAGCCGCAAAATGACCACCGGGGAAGCCCCAGGGCTTTCTCCAAAGTGTGGTCCGCCCTGAGGCCCCATGGAAGGAGATATCGATGGACTTCATTGTTGAATTGCCAGAGAGTCTAGGAAATACCGTGATTTGGGTTATCACCAACCTGTTTTCCAAACAAGTTCATTTTGTACCGTTCCAAAATCCCATCAGCTAAGTCATTAGCTAAGTTATTTATTTCACATGTGTATCGGTTACATGGAGTGCCTGAACGCGTAATTTTGGATAGGGGGGGGGTCCAATTAACCTCCCTCTTTGGAAGGAGTTTCTGAAGTTAAATTGGCTCTGCCCAGGGGCTAAGCTCCGCCCACCATCCTCAGACTAATGGGGCTTGTGAACGGACTAATTCTGTTTTGGAACAGTACCTCCGGTGTTTCATTAATTATGAGCAAGATAATTGGGCTGAACGGTTACCACATGCTGAGGTGGCGTACAGTAACTCTGTGCACAGCAGTACTGGCTTGACCCCATTTAGATTTGTGTTTGGGCAAGACTGTGTGCCGATTCCTGAGTTACCTCAAGAGAAACCACAAATTCTGTCCCTCTCTGAGTGGATCAACTTCGCCAATTTTGGCCCATGACCCGCAAGGCATTGGAGGCTGCTCACCAGGCGCACAAGAAACAGGCTGATAAAAAGAGGGGGAAGCCGAAAGTGGGGGATCAAGTGTTTTTGTCCAAGTTTCTGCAAACCACCCAAAAATTAAAAAAAAACCTGGGACCTAAGTATGTCGGTCCATTCCCTATTGTGAAAATCATAAATCATGTTTCTGTACAATTGGAGTTGCCAAAGAATCTTAGGCAGATTTATCCTGTGTTTCATGTGAACCTGTTGAAACCAGAGCACACTTTTTCCTTTCGTCCACCTCAACCTGCACCCCCAGCTCCTCTTCTTATTGAGGGAGAGCAGCATTTTGAAGTTAAAGAAATCTTGGACTCGTAGACTTTTGCAGAAGTTCTATGCCAAGTGCCCTGATAAGCATTGATGTTATTTGAAATGTACATATTTTATGTTGTCTTTTCTATTATTTTAGTTTTTCTTGCAGGGCTGACTTCTCTTCCTGAAGGAGGGCCTCCTGTCAGCATCTGTTTTGCTATTCGCTTTCGGCTGCCATTGAAACGGGGAGGCTGGTATTTGGGAGGGGAAGTTTTGGTACAGGAGAGATTGTTAAGAGGGAGTTTTGTTCTCACCATCTACTGCGCATGCTGATGGCTGGGAGTTGGCCAAGGCTAACCGTCCTGCATACCAACCTGATGATGCTTCTTGGAGATGCAACCCGCATGACACCTGAAGGATTTGCAGATTGGACAATGGGATGGGGGCTTGGGAGAGACGACATTTTCATGAGAGCAGGTCTGAAAGAGAAGCTGATTCCCTGATCTAGAAGAGAGACCTGCAGAATACCTGTCTCGCCCAAGGGGGGCTCTGGGGGAAGACAGTGGAGGTGATCAGGATGGGGAGCCAATCTCCTCCCATTAGTCTGCATAAAGTTGCAGGCAGCCCCCGATCAGACGATCACTCTGGCGGACACTTGCTGTACCTGAACTAGTAGTGTTGGAACCACCACGAAAGGACTTCTGAAAGGAGCCCTGGTGTTGTTGCTTGCCACGGGACCCAAAGGTGTTCCTGTCTTGGCCCCTATCGCTAGATTGATTGTAGGACCTCTAATAGGAAAAAGAGGTAGAAGCCTGAGCGTTATCCTGGCCCCAAAAGGCCTGTTTCCTGAAGGAACCAGAGCCCTTCCTCTCATTCTTTTTGTGAGTAGAGGGAAGGATTTTTCATTTATCCTGTCTCTATCAAAAAAATTTCTAAGGAATCTCCAAAGAGATTCCCCCCTTTGAATGGGGCTGAGGCCAGCTTCCACTTAGCTTTCATTTCCACCTGCCAGTGGTGGAGCCATAGCAGGTGGCGTGAGGTCACATTGGAAGCCAGCGTTCTAGAGGCGAACTTTGCCACATTCAAGGGGGCATCCACGGAATATTCCACAGCTGTAATGATCTTATTGAGATCATGACCCCACCGAGATCTCTCCGAGGGAGGCTTAGATCTCAACTGCCGTAATCAGAGTAAGGATGCCCTTGTGAAGAAGGAAGTGGAAGTTGATGCCTCAATGGCTCAGGCAGCTGCCTGATGAGTCTTATTACAGGCTTTTGTTCTCCGCTTTAAGATCATCTAAAAGGTCTGCCAGTAGGGTTGAGTTGGAAGTCAAGGACACCGCCGGGGCATCCACTTCTGGCAATTTCAAAATGTTCCACATTTTAGATTCTGAGGAGTAAAGTTTTCTCCCCCCACTGGGATTGGCCAATGTTCCTGGCTGTGCCCACTGGCTGCACAACATCCATGAACAGGTCAGGGACCAGAATGAGTTCCAGATCAGGAGCGTTCTCCTTAAATAGTCCCTCCTTAGGGTCCTGGGAAGTAGAGGGTACAGATTTATCCTTAGGTTTAGCTGGGCCTAGCTCTGTGGAAGCCCTGGCCTTATGCAAAATAGCCTTAAACAAAGACACTTTGAAGAGGCCAGTGAAAGCAGGCTTATCGGGGGGGCATATCCTCATCCTCCAATAATTCAAACTCATCTGCATTCTCCTCCTCCTAGGCCGACACCTCCATTGTAACAGAGGTACCATGAGAATTGGGCGGCCATTAAAAAGTGCGCGAAAAGGTCGCTTCCAAAATGGCCACCGCGCTCATCAGAGCCTCAGAGACACCGTCACATCACCTGGATTCTCTGGAGGCTCCTGATGCCGTTCCTGCACCCACCAGTAGCTGCCGGACAAGTGGTCTCTGCTATCTCGACCGCTGTGTGCGACCAGCAGCAGGTCGAGTTTCCAACATTTACCTCAGCAAGCTTTTTAAAGAAAATAAACTTCAAGGAAGGTTCTAACCTTATTCTACTTGAACAGACTACTCTAAGAAAATAAAAAATCCTAAATCTACTGTGAATTATTTGGAGAGTTATAGTCTATCTTCAAAGGACTGAGTAGCTCCCCAAATTTTGTCTTAACGGGCGGACTGAGTTTTAAACTGCCCTCAATGAGGGAAAGGGGGTGTGGTCAAAGAAAAATCTACTCAGTCCTAGAGCAGATAGACTGTATTTAACCCATGCTTGGACTCTCCAAGCAGCGCACAAGAGAATGCTTATTCAGTGTATAAGACACACCCGATTTTCATCCTCTTTTTTTAGACCAGTATAACCCAAAGCGTCTCATTTCTATAACAAATGCACACATTTTGTAATTGGCACATATTAGGCCTTTCAGTTATATGAATCTTGAGATGGAAAGAAAATATTTTTCATCAAAAGGGAAAAAACCCAGAGGACTAGAATCCAGGAGAAAAATACTTAGCTGGTTTTAGGAAACTAGAGCCCTGATATCTGTAAAATATTCCTGAATATAGGTAGTCCCTTACTTACAATAGTTCATTTATTGACAGTTCAATGGCAGTGAAAACTGTGACTTATGACCACAAATCATAAATGGGGGAAAATGTCACCTAACAAATGTCTCATTTAACAATAAAAATTTGGACTCAATTATGGTGGTAAATCAAGGACTACCTGTAAAAGGTAAAGGTTCCCCTTGTACATATGTGCTAGTCGTTCTCAACTGCATTTCAAAGCCGAAGAGCCAGTGTTGTCCGAAGATGTCTCTGTTGTCATGTGGCCAGCATGACTAAACACTGAAGGTGCACAGAACACTGTTACCTTCCCACCAAAGGTGGTCCCTATTTTTCTACTTGCATTTTTATTTGTTTTCGAACTGCTAGGTTTGCAGAAGCTGGTACAAGTAACAGGAACTCACTCTGTTACACAGCGGTAAGGATTCGAACCCCTGCCATAGGTTTGCCATCACTGCCCTATATTAAATTGTGACCATGATTTTACAAACCAAAATTAGGTTGTCTCATCACACTAAGCCAAAAGTAAGCAAACCATAATAGTTTAGTAAAATAGGTAAGGAGGAACAAAAATTCAACTCATGTACCCTTTGATTGTAATAAGCTAGGATTATCTTGAAACAAATCTCTTAGCAGAGCTGTTTGTTTTATACAAGGAAATGCCTTCTTTGTTTAGCAAATCTATTCATTAAATATGTTCCAAATGTCATAAGTTGGTAAAAGGAAGTAAGTAGGCATATACAAATTCACTGAGTTGCCATAGTGAAAGATTTAAAAAATGCACCTGACATTCACATTGGCTTTTTACTTGTGAAAGGACAAAGATCACTTTGCCAGCAATTGGTAACTGCCCCTCTGCCTATATGAACTCATAAATCAATAAATCCTTTGCAACATTCATAGTTTTAAATACTAGATTTTACGCAGTACAGTAAGGCAGAATTCAGCCTTACATGTTTGCCCAAGATTAATTTAAGAAATTATAGGTGCACGTTTAATATGGATATATTTGTATTTAATTTAATCATAATTATTTTTCTTATTAAAATTTATATTATAAAAATTTGCAATGGTTTGGGCTAGGAAGAGACAACTGGCAACCAAGTATTTCTAAAGGGCAGCTTGGTGGTTAAGTCAACTTTTCTTCTGATATGCAGTTCAATTTTTATGCAGGAAAAAAGCTAAAGCTACAAAAAATGGATCACCAAAATAAATACTAAATTTTTGATAGTAGATTTGGGTAAAGGAGACACTTAAAAAAATTTATTTATATTCACCATTTTTTTTTTTGCTTTCTCTTTTTATATAGTCATAAGTGATATGTTGTCACTTAACAATATTTTCAGAACCATACAATGTAGCTCTCACTTCTCTTGCCTCCCCAGAAGCATCAGGGTTATTTAGAAGTTAGTCCATTAAAAAATCAAATTAGATCAGAAACACTAAATGTCCCCTCCCAGACATAAAGCTGACTTGGGCCTTGAACAAAATCTTGTAATTCAAGTTCAATTTCTACAGAATTACTAGATCATCAATCACAGGGAGGTAACGATGACATGGTTCATTGCACTGATCTGTTTCAGGAAAGGATATTTACACAATAACAACGGAAAGTTGATGCAACCCAAGTGTGAAACAGAAGTTCAACTGGGCAAGCAGAGATACCTTGGATATTTAAAATCTAGTTATTTTTTTTATTCAGATGATGGTTTTCTCTTTAAAACAACCCTATATAAGTGTATTAGCTGGACTAACTTGAGGATTGACATCCTGTCTACATGAGTTCTATTTCAAACACGTGCAGCTGAAATCATAAAGCCATTAAGATAATACAATTTAAACCACCTTATTCCATATTTTAGAGTACTATTATGCAAATAGAATAATCTACTTCTTTGCAATACTATGCAACTTACACCATAAATAAAATCTTGAGGATCCCAATGCAAAGAAAGTGCATTCATTTAAATCTTGATAAGTTAATAGTTTGGTACACAAAGAAATTAAAATTAATTCGTTAAAACACACTGGATCTGCGTCGAAGTCAAGATTCAGGGTTGCCTTTTGTTTAGGTTTAGGAAATTACACGGTATGAGCTCTATACGAGCTTTATTCAGATCACTATAGATACCTTGCTTCTCCCTTAGCTAGCAGCCTCTAGAAATTGCACAATAGTCTATCTTAAGGCCTTGCCCTCAAACACAACAGTTGTAGCTTAGTATATCGATCCATTTACTGGATGCTAGGTACTGGTTACCGAGCAACCAATAGCTTGCTGGATAAACCAAGATCCAGGAAAATATGGTTTAGCGTAAATGTGCAAACCCGATCAGGTGTACTGACGATTACTGGCAGAGCCTGTGGAATTTTACAGAGGGCGGAGGCTTTTTCGAGTCTTCCTGTAAATCGAAAGCGGGACTTTCTAAGCGCCCATCGCGAGTGGTTCTGGCTTTGCAAATTCCACCGGACACCACCCCCCCCCCCCGCATCAAGTCAGTTCCCGCTGGAGGGCCCGTCAAAGCGGCTTTCTGACTCCGGCTTAATTCAGAGAGGTTTTTCCTCCTCCCTTCGCGGTTCCATCTTCCACATCCCTCTAGCTAATGTAACCAGGCAAACCGCTTTCAACAAGCGAAGTCAAACCGTTCCCCCGAGGGCGCCAAAAGGAGGGTCCGAGGAGGCGCTTCAAAATGCCTTACCCCTCCCTGGTAATAGCCGCCTCCGGGACCAGAATACGCCATTGTCTGCAATTAGTTACTCTTCACAAACCACCGGCAACCTCACTGTGACCTCTCGACGCTGTCCAAAACCGGAGGAAGTCCGGATCAAACCATTCGCACGAAAGGAAGGGATTGGAAAACGTTTCTCCGAGGGGAAACTGCGAGGGGCGCTGCGTTTCCGGCCATAGATTTGCCCTTCGGTCTCGCCATTCCTTACCCGTGTTGTATAAAATGGGGCAAAGCACCTAGCATTACCCCCCCCCCCTCTTTTCTGATGACAATGGTATAAGCCGGACGTCCCCCTTTTTTAATATATATATATATATATTGAAACTATGTTTGAGGTGGTGAAACTAAGTATTGAAAATCTGGATGGCAGTTTCCGGAAGAGGAATGAACAAATGTTTGCGCGCATGGATACTTAGAAATATTTGCTTTATGAACGTTCCAAGGATGATGCGGGGCGTGGGAAAGGAAGGATAAGCTACTACATCGTCATGCCATACGTAGATACAGAGCTTTACCATTTATTGATCCGTGGGATTTAGTCCTTCAACGTAGGTCTTCCTCGACCGTGCTGTTGGGCTACACGTTACTCATTCATAAGTTCGATGTGCCTTGGTGGGACATTATCTCCCAGGATTGCTTCCAGACATATTCGTTGTTTGGCAGCAAATCCTGCTGTATTTAGAAGCGTGTACCCCAAACAAAGGGACGCGGTGGCCCAGTGGCTAAGATGCTGTGCTGTCAGTTCGGCGGTTCGAATCCCTAGCGCGGGGTAACGGAGTGAGCTCCTTTTACTTGTCCCAGCTTCTGTCAACTTAGCAGCTGGAAAGCATGTAAAAATGCAAGTAGAAAAATAGGGACCAATTTGGTGGGAAGCCTTCGGTGTTTAGTCATGTTGGCCACATGACAATGGAGACATGCACTGGCTCTTCGGCTTTGAAACTGAGATGAGCACTGCCCCCTAGAGTCGGGAATGACTAGCACATATGTGCGAGTGGAACCTTTACCTTGACTCCAAATAAGCATCTAGAATTTCATCCTTTAATTCATCACCTGCATAGAAGACACCAGAGGGACAGAAAAAGGTGGTGTGGTGCTGAAGTGCAAGCTATGCACTTTTTCTATGAGTGCTATGATACTTCATGCACACCAAAAAAGAAGTAGCAATAACCTGATAATGATGAAGATGGTTTAAGGCAGGGCTGTCAAGCTCATGGTCCATGAACCAGATGCATTATGTGCTGGCCACGCCACCCATTCCTGGTTTAGCGAAGGGAAAATTCACGATACGTCAAGTGAGAATGCCATGATGACATCAGTTTGATACCCCTGGTTTAAGGAAAATGCAAGTAGTCCTTGACTTATAGCCATGTGTTTATCAATTGTTCAAAGTTATGACAATGCTGAAGAAAGTGATTTATGACTAGTTCTTGTATTTTATTGTTACAGTGTCCCCGTAATCCCATATTCAAAAATTGGACATTTTGTGATTGGCATGTATTTAACACTTCTCTAGTGTCCCAAGGTCATGTGATCGCCATTTGTGACCATTCCAACCAGCTTTCAACAAGCAATGTTAATGGGGAAAGCCAAATTTGATTGGACAGTTGTGCGACTCACACAAAGGTTGTGGCAAAAAAAAATGATGTGAGCAAAAAAGGGCCTTAAAATCAATTGTGAGTCATTTAATAACCATCTTGCTTAGAGATGGAAGTCCTAGTTCCAACTGTGGTTGTAAGTCGAATCCAGGAAGTCCATTATTAATTTAAACTCCTATAGGACTATGAATAGTTTTTTTAAGGTTGACATATTTGAAAATGCCAATTAGGTTTATTCAATAAATCATGGTTTAGCATTTTATGTAAATTATTATTACAAATTATATAATTATCTTTGGAAAATATTGTAGAATATTATTTGCTAACAGCCCTGCACACAACCAAATCAATGTGCTACTACAAAATATTTATTTTAAAAACATTAATGGTCAATGGATAACTTACATAAGAGTAATTCAAGGCCACTTTTTCATATTTCTGTGTCTTTGATAATTTTTAAATATTTTAATTTATAAAAAATTACACTAAATTACTAAATTACACCAAGTCACTTTTTTGCAAAATATTTGGATCAATTTTGGTCAATGATGAGCATATCACAGCTTTGCTAATCCTATATTTACTTAGAAGTAAATTTTGTATTTATTCAGTGTTTTCTAGGGAAAATGTATCAGGAATGCAATCCTATTTGCAAAGTAATATCTGAAAGGAGGCAAAAAATAAATGATAAATTAATGTGTGAGATTATTTGAAGAGATTAAAGATCAAAGTTGTTATTGTTTACATGTTTATATGTTGCTTCTGGTAGATTTTAATGATTTTTTAAAAAAATTAAGCTTGAATGTTGTAACTTTAAATATTTGTTTATAGGAATGAAATCCTATTTGCTTTAAAGAAGATTTCTCACCGTTATGACATGGAAGTTTTCGAAAATAAGCTCCCTAGAACTACAGTAAGTACATCTAAGACCCCACGTGTTTCTGTTCTGTATGCAGAAAGTGGCACATACTCAATTAAGGCCAAAATAATTGTTATGGCATTTAATTACTAGTTAGGCACATCATATTGTTCTTTTTGAATCCAATGACGTGGTACTTGTTGGTTTACACTCTTAACTATTCATGTGCATTGTTTTGTTTTTTCCAAATATTTTTTGAATTTAAATAATGTAAACAGTAGTTCACTAAATAAAACTGATTTTAGACATTTTACTCATTTTTCTAATTTTTCATACATTGTCCTTTGGTACATCTTTAGTACTACCCAAATAATATTGTGAATACTGTTTAAGGTGGGTAATATCTCCATCATTTAAAGAGGCAATTATCATATTATGATTTCAGTCAATGTCTTCTCTCCCTACTAGGGAGAGCTACTGAAATTCCTTAAAAAGAACCATAAAGTATACATTTGTGTCTATGTTCCAATAAATCTATTGAAATTTTTGGAATTTTCCCTTGAGAATTCTGGCCTTGAATTGCAGAAAATGGAATATTTAATGAATTTAAGAAATAAACTTTTTAATGGAGTTTTACTGCAGATGTTATTAAAAGTTTTAATATTTTAATATTTATAATTGTTATTTATTTATAACACCATATAAGTTTTATTTATTTTTTATGTAGACTAATATTTTTTAATTATGGTTGGTTATAATTCTGGCTTGGAATTCTGGGAATTGAAGTTCACACATCTTAAAGTTGCCTAGGTTGGTGCCAAGGCCGTGAGGCAAGGGATGTGTAGGGGTATGGAATTCTGGGAATTGAAGTTCACACATCTTAAAGTTGCCTAGGTTGGTGCCAAGGCCGTGAGGCAAGGGATGTGTAGGGGTATGGAATTCTGGGAATTGAAGTTCACACATCTTAAAGTTGCCTAGGTTGAGTCTCAGCATCCAACTGAGTAGCTGAATTACTCTTACTGTTAGGAAATTTGTTTTCTAACATTCATTTGGAAACTGCTTTCCAAAAGATAATATCTCTCATCCCCTCTCCTGAACTTTGGCATAATAGAGAACATCTTTTTATGTGTGACAACATTTCAAATATTTGAAGTGTGCTTTCATATTCCATTCACATTACCTATTTTCTTTTCTCAATCAAAACGTGCCAGCTCCTTCAGTTTCTCTGCATATTTCTAATCCATTATCATCTATCTTGCCCTATTTGAATTTATTACATTTTTTCTGAAATATTTATATATATTATCCAAAACTGGATAAAATATTCAAGGTGGGGTTTTATTGATACAAATATATATGGAAGTTTAACATACTGTGACTTGGAAAATATAGTTATGTTGATGCAGCCTAAAACTGCATTTGTTTTTTAAAATCTTTTTCAAATAAACACAATTTGCAATCAGTTGTTGATCTTTCTTCCAGCTATTGTTACCAAGGCATATATTTCCCACAAGCTATACACCAAGTAAAGAATTTGCTTTCACCTTTGTTAAACTTAATTTTGTTAATCCATTTCCTTTAATCTATCACTTTTACACGATCCCATTTAACTTTGTGACATCTGCAAATTGTAAACATTACTTTCTGTTGAAGAGTGTAGGATCCCAGAATGAATCTTGTTGCACTCCACACTTAATGCATCCCTCTGATTTGATTAAAAAAAACATTGATGGGCATCTTTGATTTTGATTTTTCAAGTCAGTATGCTACCCCCTTCACATTTCCCAGTCTGATAATGAGAATATCATGTAGTAATACTATGTTTCTCCCAAAATAAGATCTGTTCTGAAAATAAGCCCTATCATGTTTTTGTGTGTGCCCCCAATATAAGACTTATTCCCAAAATAAGCCATACTTAAGTGCCTACACAACCGACCAGCCACCGATTCAGCCTGGTTACTTGTGGTGCCACGGCCATAAAATGAGGGGGGTGAAATTGCCCCATGTGCCCTCAACCAGCTTATCTTAGGGCCTCCGCAGCCAGGCCATCCATATGCTGGATAGGGCTCAACCAGCCCTATCCAGCAGGACCTTGCATGGTCGCTGGCCCACTTCTGCTTACTTGTGTGGGAGCAATGGAGTAGGAGGCTGAGCATAGTGTTGGTGCCAAGGCCGTGAGGCAAGGGATGTGTAGGGGTATGGATGGCCTGGCTGTGGGAGCCCTGAGGTAAGCCAGTGTGGGGTGCATGGTACAGCTCTCTTTGTGGACATGTTATCAGCACATTGCTTGGTCTCCTGCTCTGTTGCTAATGTGTGAGCAAACAGAGGAAGTGGGCTGGCAGCCACTCGAGGTCTTTCTGGACAGGGTTGCTGGAGCTGCGGCAACGAGGCAGGTATTGGAGCATGGGTGTCCTGGCTGCAGGGGCACTAAGATAAACTGGTATGGGGCATGTGGGGCAGCTCCATCCCTCTGCTTCGTGGCAGCACTGGTGTGCTGCCTGGCCTCCTGCCCTTCGGTGAGCAAGCAGAAGTGGTCTCCAATGTAATCTTAAAGTACATGGGAAAAAATAAAACATTCCCAAAATAAGGCCCAGTGCTTATTTTGGAGCCCCAAAGAAAATAAGGCCAGGTTTTATTTTTAAGGAAACTTGGGTATATAAAGTATTCTTCTAAAATTAAAATATCTACAACATTTCCACGATTTACTAAGGAAGTTGTTTGGTTAACAATAATGGTAGATCTATGTTGACATCTGGTAATTTTGCCATTGTGTCATAGAAGCTTACATATTGCTTGCTTTATCATCTGTTCCAGAATATTTGAGGGCATTTATGTTTATTTGGCTGGATTCTTATTCTTCTTTTTTGAAGATAGGGCAATTATTTCCCTCCATTCTTCTGGGTTTGCTCCTAATTTGCTGCTGATGCAACTGGAAAGCCCAGCTGGCAAATTGAAAAGGGTCAGAGTGCAAAAACAAAATGGCTCCCAGAGAGCATCAGAGTCTGAATTGGAGTTAGCCAGTTCTGTTCTCTTCTGTTTTGCCACTAACTAAATAAGTCTTCTACATTTCCTTAATTGGTTTATTAAAGCATGTACTACATTGTGCTTTCATGTTTATTTGTTTCATGGAGTGGTGGGATTCAATTTTTTTTTTTACTACTGGTTCTGTGAGCTTGGCTTGGCTTGGTGGATGTGGCCTGGCTTAACGGGCGTGGCAAGATACTGTAAAATCTCCATTCCTTCTCCACTCTAGGGGAAGGTTTCTGCAAAATCGCCATTTCCTCCCGATCCACTGGGACTAGTTGACTAGTTATAGCGGGAGCTATAGGTGTGGTTGGGGGAACCACGGACACGGGAGTGGCAGTCAGAGGTGGTATTTACCAGTTCTCTGAACTACTCAAAATGTCTGCTATTGGTTTTCCAGAATTGGTCAGAACCTGCTGAATACCACCTCTTGTTTCATGTTGCTGGCTGCACAATGTGGCAGTGCAGCATAAAACACTTGGGAATTAGTAAAAAAAAATCTATGGGGCAGTATCAGTTTTTGCTGCGATGAAACTAAGTCTATGCAGTCAAAGTGGGCACAGGTTCCCAGCAAGCAGGTTGATATTAGATTGATTGGTTAGAAAGCAGATTGACCAAGCTAAGTTTACAGATCCTCTGACCCTTAAGAAAAATTGTGGCCTAATCCAGTTCCATACCATGCCTATTTTGTACCAATATTTTCTGTCTTCAGCCAGCGATATCAATTTTGGTGTGATTTAATTTGTATTCACTGAAACCTGTCTCAGGGATTTGTATTCCAGTTCTCTCAACTGTCACTGTGTTGTTTGGTGAAAACCCATCACTTTATTAAAAGTCTTGTATAAATTTCTATTACTCTTTTCTTGTCCTCCTATTCAAAACATACTTCCTTTCTCTTTATAGTTGATCTTAAATCTTCTTCTTTCCTGATCAAGAGCAAAAAGAAATGTTTCTCCTTCAAAGTATTTTATTTTATTTTTTTGAAACATACCAAGTATAAATGCTGATGAACAAGGTTTGGAAACCAAACCTTGAAAAACAGAATACATGTATTTTATGGATACAATATGAATACAATTTGCTAATATACAGTAAGAAATTTGAATTAAATTGCTTCTTTGTTATTGATTTAGCTTATGAGTTTGACTTAAACATGCATGATAATGAAGCATAAAATATTTGATATTATTGGGGATTTGCTGACAGAAGAATACTCAGGCTGTGGAAAGTGAAATTTGACATTAGATCTCTGTCCCGATTTGCCTCTACCAACCTTCTTGGCTGATATTTCTGAATCGAGACAAATTTCATCATAGAAAACTTTAAAGAGGAAGTAGCAAGATGAGTGTATTCAAAGGACACTCAGTCCCCATTTTTTCCTTGATCTGGAAAAAAAAATCTTAAGTAACCACTTGAAAACTTTTCTTTCATGTGTCTTCCTGCTAGTCTGCAGCAGGCAAGATTTGCATAAGAATCAGGGAATATTTCGGTGTTTTTAATTGCTTTTTCATGTTTTGCTAAGTGCACTTTAGTAAGACTAGAGTTAGCATTTCTTGTTCACATTCTTGGCTGTCGAGTGCAGAGTGTAGGGTTCTCTTATGCAGCCCTCCTGTTAAACTCATAATAAAATCACAACTTCCTATAGATAAAAGAAATTTCTTTATGAATTGACAGATATTCATAGAAAGAAAATGCAATTTGTATACAGGTGGCACGCTTGGCACTGTAGATATTATATATTTAGTGTACTTATATAGGATACGTTGGCTGGAAAGCTATTGCTGGTCTGACAATAATCCTGAAAATTTGCAGAAACTCATTCCAAATGTCAAGGATGTGGTTTATAAAGTTCTTCCCTGGTAACTCACAAAAGCTCATAACCAAGATCCTTTTTCAGAGTGTCTCCACTGCTTAGTGCAGTGTTGGCGAACCTTTTTGCCACTGAGTGCAGGAAACGGAAGAACAGCAACCGGATGTGCACATGTGTTCCAGGAAGATGATTTCTGGTTTCGGGCACGCACATGTACACCAGGAATCTGATCTTCCAGTTCCTGGTAGGCATGTGCGTGCGAAGACCAGCATGCGCACCGGAAACCGGAAGATTATCTTCCCAGCACCCACATGTACATCGGGCGGCTGCTCTTTCGGTTTCCAGTGCTCTTGCGCATGTGAAGACCAGCTAGTGACGGGTCACATGCTCAAAGAGATGGCTCTGCGTGCCACTTCTGGCACAAGTGCCATAGGTTCGCCATCAAGGGCTTAGTGCTTTGACTATGCTCAGTCCTTTCCAAAATATACAGATTAACAGAGATCAAGGAATTATACAGATGATATTTCTTTGGTGTTCTGATTGCTGTTTGAGTGGCTCATATTTTTGCGTTTTCTCTCCCAGCCCTGTCGAATTTCAGTTAATGGTCTATCTATACATGGAAATATTAGGAAAAACTTAATGAACAACACAATGCAAGGAATAATGAGAGACAGCAAATAAACTGGAGGTAGGCACCACGGGTATGTCTTAGAATTCAAGAACCTCTTCCCACCATATCCCAGTGTATGGGCAGTACACAAAACCAGTGTAAGGTAGCCCAGATAGGACTGTGGAAACAAAGAAACAAAACAATGGTTAGCAAACAAATATTAACTGCTGAATGCATTTTCTAATATAAAAACTGTTAGAGGATTCTATATTGCTATCCAAAATTGGACCAAACTAGCATTTGCTATAGTTTCCAAAAATGCAGCCCAAAGAGTGCATTTAACTAGATGTAAGTTATTCTAGATTAGGGCTGAAAGGTTAAGACCACTGTATTTATTAGAATAGTCGATTGACCGAGTCTGAAAAGATTACAAAATGAGTACAACATATTTGTTGTACTCAAATTGTATAAGGTAAACACTTCAGTAATATGGACTGTCAAGGACAGTTTCCTTTTTTTATTAAACTGAAATACTTAAAATGAAAAATAGGAAGCCTTAGCAATAGCATAATGCATTTATTTATCTAAAATACTTTAATTTATATAAGCTTTTTATCTAAAAAGAATCAACAACAACCTTTCCTTTGGGCTGCATTTATACATATATAACACAGTCTTCTTAATGTTTATGCATCAATAAATATCAAAATAAGGAGAAGAATTAGAATTTCAAGGCTGTTTTCCATGCTGGGGCAATGACAGAGTGGACTTAATTTTGCATTTTGAACCTGGCACTCTGCTTGTATTTTAACTTTAATGCTCACAATTCCAAGAGACGAGTTAGGAAAATTGAAGTTCTACCTATTTAGAAGAAAGGAGATAAGAGAAAGGTGCACATAGTTCTGAGAATATGACATCTAATCCCCTGAAGAGATAGAACCAGGAGAATACAGCTTTGGTGAGCATGTTAGTAAAATTCCTTGCCCATTCCTGCCCATGTTATTTTAATGCCTGGGAAAAACTGTTGAAGTTTGTAGGGAGAATAATCTTCCAAAGATTAAGCTAAATCTTAGTAAATTGCACCTCTCAGGCAAAGAAGGATGGAAATAGGGTGAATTTACTAGCCAAACAGAATCCTACCTGCACAAACCGAAACTCTCTCCAGTTAACATTGTTGCTGACAGAAGGCAAGGATGTTATCCCAAGAAGAAGAAACAGGAAAAAACCTAAGATTCCCAAAGCAAGGTAAGAATCACTGTGCCAGGCCCAGCCGGTCCAAAATGGATCTGTTTGGTTATTTAATGCCTTAATAGAAAACAGAAGTGTGTGAGTATAATAATTTCATAACAGATCTGCAACATATTGCCTCCCTTTATGTCACAAGGTGAGTTCAAGTGTAGTAAATCTTGCACATCATAAGCTCTCTTGCGTAATGTACTTATTCAAGATGATCATGACAATTTTTGTAACCTGAAGTCATACAAGCCTTCCAGTATTAGAATCATTGCAGCAATTGGTTGTTTTTTTTTAAAAAAAAAATCAACATTATGACGTGTATATTATTTTTAGTAAATTAGTAACTTGTTTTTTAAAAAAAAAAAATTGGCCATCAAACTACCACATGTGGCAAAAATGATAAAGAAAAGAGGAGGAGAAGACATTAAGGACTTGTTGCCTTCAATTGATCTTGGCCAATTTAGCACAATTTTCAAAGTTGGATAGTTCTTTATGACAGAAGAAAAATATTTGATAAATACCCATATGAACTTGCATGTGCATTGTGCACCCATGTGTGTGCGGTGTGTATGCGCGCCCCTTCCCACAAAATTATTTGTTCCACATGAAAAATTTATTCAGCTCACATCACACTCAAATAAGTCTTTTCAAAGATCTAGAAGAGCCATAGAAGCTAAACATATTTATACACACATACTCACCCCTCTGAAAAGTGAAAGGCTCAGCCACTTTTTCAAGGGTCTCTGAGCATCCTCAGAGTGAAAATTGTATTGATCAAGTACCATGACAGAGAAGGTGCATTTCCTAGGTCCCAATAGGTGAGTTTTATTGAAGGGACCTAAAGTTTGCCCAAGTTGCCTAGTCTTGCTGGCTAGGCAGAGACTATGGGAACTAGGTAACCCCTCAAATAACCAGGATCTACACAATGAATAGTTTTTTAGATGAAAGTGAGCATCTTGAATTGCACCCAGAAGTCTGGCAACTCCTGCAGCTGACAAAGCAGTGAAGACACACGAGCACATCTAGGTATATTCTGGATCAGCTACGGTACATCTTCCAAATGGTCTCCAAGACCATTCCATATAGAGTATATTGTAGTTATCTAATATTGAGGTGATCAAGGCATGTGTGTAAAAGGCCTCCAGATCAAGGAGTGGGTTGAGCTGTCACACTTGGTGAATTTGTGGAGAAGACCTCCTAGTCACAACTGCCACCTGCTTTTTGATCAGGATATGCAAATACAGAATGACATACAAATTGCACACCCCTCTCAAATGGGAAGATGCTGCCCCATCCAAGGATAAAGATGAAGATTCCTCAGAATCAGGTTGCCCAAATATCTATAGCCACTCGATTTTGCCAGAATTGAGATGGTTTCAGATCAAGAGGTTTCAACTGGGTAATATGGCCAAAAGGACATGAATAGTGAGGAGTTAACAAGAGTGTCTACTGCTCTAATGAGGTGACAGTTATGAGCTGGATCTGAAATGACTTAGCATTCCTTTGCTAGGTTTATGGGAACTTGATGCAATTTCCCCGTTTTATGACAGAGTATCTGAAATGGGCTGAAAATGCTGAAACAATTCAGGATATCACTGAAGTTTGGGAAACTATTAGAATCTTTACTCCATTTCCTCCTTAAATGCTTGCATTAGCATGGGGGCAGCAAGGAAAAACATGGTTTCTGCTTTTCCTCCAGTATTGTACCAGATATTGAAATGGGAGAAAAAAGTGTGTAAGTCTGACTTACCTGACCAATGATATAAGAATTGGTCTTCCATCTTACATAGTAACGAATGGGGATGATCAGGGTATATAAAACATGTAGGAAAGCATAAGCCAAGGCAACCAATCCCAGTTGTTTCCGGCAAAGCATCCATTTATCCAGCCAATCAGGAAAGCGACTGTACTTTGTACCTCTGTATAACTGGAGAATAGCTGCAAAGATCCCAGGTAAATAGGTCAATGCAAGAAGAACGAGGGCCACAACAGGGCAGATCCGATTTGCAATTGTAACAAAGATAAAAAAAGAAAAATCTCTGTTGTTCTCAACATGATTGTAGACGATATCACGGACAACAGAGTATAAAAAGATGAATGTACTGAGAGCAAAAGAGAGGTAGATGGGAAATCTCCACATTGGAAAAAGTTGTAAAGGGTAATTCTCAATTTCTTTTGATGCTAAGAGAGAACCTTTATCCAAAGGAGTAAGACCAAGACTCCGAACAATCTCTGTCACCTTTTCTTTTGCTTTCCTATCATCTCCACAGATGAATACCTGCAAAAGCAAAGTAAAGTCCCACAGCTTCAATAAAAATAAACATAAATTAACCTAGTAAGTCAACCTGCCTTGATGCTTATTAATTAACTTTTGAGAAAGTTGGCCAGAATTTTGACTGAAACTGAAATTAGTCAGAGTAGAGATCTTTGGGGATAACAATAGACTTTTTGGACCAACATTAATCTGAAGATATTCTAGATTTACTCTGTGGGCTCTTCTATTAATCCATCCTTAAAATGTTTTATGATGTCTTTTTAACTGCATTTTTTTTATTTTATTCAAAAAAAATTAAAAACTAAAACTAAACTAGACAAGACCATTAAAAATGTGAATTAAAAAGAATAAAGCAAAAACTACACCCTCCCTAGTTTAACATTGACAAATCTATTGCAAAAACATTAACTTCCCTCCTTGCAAAATAGGTTCAAGATTTATAAGCTTCTGCATCTACTTGCCATACATTACATATATGAAAGAAAAATAATAATAATTAACTGCTTAAACAGAGTGAAGACTTAAATGTGATTTTGTTTGTTGGAGCTATGAATCCAAAGGCACTGATTATTCAAAACCTAACAACCACAAGGCGAACAATATAGCGTAGAGAGAGATAGTTAAAAGTTTATTTTGTATTTCTTGCCTGAGAGGTTCATCTCAGGTCACCTACTGCCTTCATTTCAGGTACACGTGCATACAGCATGTGGCCTCAGATTCTCCACCTGCTGGGGTGCAGCTAGATAGAATTTGCATGCTTGTAGAACATGACACAGGCAGGACTATCGATAGCAGCTGTGGCTTCTTCCACTGCCTGTACATCTTAGTTTGCCAAAGCATTAATTGTCTCACCCTTTCTCTTGGTAATAACAACAGACATAAAAAGCAGCTAGTTAGATTTGTTATAAGGGGGAAAGAGGCAATTTGTTTTATTTTATACTGCAGCTGCCGATTCTCAGTAGTCAGATTAGAAAATTAAATAAAATATTAGAAACTGTACTAAGCCCATTCAGAATCACAAAATAGCGCATAAGCTTTGGTTTCCCAGAACTCTTCCTTTGGAAGGGTAAAGAGGAAAGGCCTGCTGTTCTGGTCGTGAATCTGCATTTAATTTCATGTGTATGTTCCAGTTCAGAGACTAGGTGTAATCTGTACCATGTATTTTTGTAACTAAATCTCCTTCCAGTGATAGCTACAAAATCTGTTCTTTGTTCAGGCCAGATCCTTATCTCAGCCCATGCACACACAGAACATTTCCACCTTTGGCACCCGAGATGCCCTTACCTGTCTGCTTGCATCCAAGCCACCTGACTGCAGGGCCCATGCTGACACCGTATTAAACGCTTTGACCACTTTACTGCCTGGAAGCAGCTGGGCAAGATATTCAGCATTTGATTCCGGATACTGATTTATTTTAAGATTGTTGCTCACATCCACCAACACTTTTCCGCTGAGGATTTCTTGTAGGCTTTCAAGAAAGCTGTAATGCACTCTGTGGACTGCTACAATGATAACGTCAGAGGTTTCAGCAGCTTCTGCATGAGGGAGGATTGCGGCTCCTTGAGGAATCAATCCAGAGTTTTGAGTGCTTCGGCTCCCGTAAACAATGGAATAGCCACACTGCATCAGTTTATAGCCCAGAGATCTTCCAAAATCACCAGTTCCAAAAATGCACACCGTTTCCTTCTTGCTGGGCATATCTGCAGCAAGTGGGATCATTGCATTGACTTTTTCCAAACCAGACATATCTGACATTATTCCTACAATGCAGAATTGTTCATGTTAACTTATTGCTAGAAATAAATTAAAAAAACAGTCTGATTCTTAAGTATCCATTAGATTATACATCTTGATGAATTTCACATGTATTGACTCTCAACTCCATAATATTGACTGAAATTATGTAAGTTAAAACCCAACATTTGGATTTTAACTGACATAATTATTTGGGGAAGGCTACATTCATACATGTTAGATAATTTTGGATTAATGTAGCACACAATACTTAATTGAAGTCTCTTGTTACATAAAAAAACTTTTCTGGTGTCTTGGGAATTTCAAGTGGAAGAAAATATATATGGTTGGTTTTGTTTTTAAAGGTGTGCTTGAAATTTGATATAAAACATACATTGCTGTGACTTTACTAAAAAAGTTTGCTATCTTCATACCCATTGCTACAAAGCTGGATATAGATTTTGCTTTAGGGAGAGGGAGAGCCCCATTGTGATTCATATTTTGAATAATGAATTATGTTTTATCTACAGTTAAGATTTTTACTGGTCCTTGGGGAATATTATATATTTTTTAGAATCTAAGCTTGTTATTTATTCTCATATCCTTTATTTCACTAAGTTTCTTTTTCTCTGAATGGGTAAAAATACAGAAGCATAAAGCAAATAGTTTTATCAAAGATATATGTTCTTTGGTGTATTCTAAGGGTTACAGACAAAATAAAGTTATAAGGAAGAGTTATAGAAGAAAAAAAGTTATTTTATAAATTTAAGAATTCCACTCAAAGTCACATGTGGTAACAGTAGCAATCACAACCAAGGGAATATGGAAACAATCTATTTAAAGAACAAAAGTGTTGAACAGGTTTCCATTCCTTGCATTTCCCTCCCACCAAATGTTCTTTGACAGATAACAAGAACCTACTGATTTTTTTAAATTTCAGGATTAATTAAGGAATCAAAACTTTGAAGTTCAGGATGGCCTTCATTCATTATAGTGTGTATCAGTACAATGCCATGCAAATGTAATATTGTTATAATAAGATTACATAATTACAGAATATAATTATAATAAAATAATTTAAGTAAGAGTTTACTTATTTATTTGGAAGGTTTATTACTCCAGTCTTCTGAGTCTGAACAATGAAAAACTCAGCAAAGTATAATTGGGATTAAAAGCAGGCAAGTAATGAAACAAACAATAATGAGGGATTAAGACTCTTTAAAGAGCAACTATTTTTTAAAAAAATTAAGAAACCTTCTGCCTGTAGAGGGAAGAGAGAATGGCCTTGTAGGATAGGAAAAAGGGCCATTACCAAAACAACAGTCAGATAAAAGAAGTATGGGTCAGGAATGTAACATGAATGAACATCTCAGACAAGCACTCCCCTAATTTTCAGGAAAATAAAAGAAAGGGATCGCCCAGTAGCGTGAATGGAGAGGAAAAAGGGGGTGGAATTCCTGTGGGCATCTGTTTCTATGTGGCACTCTCTCCTCAATGCTAGCGGCCACCGCTATCCCCTTCTCCCTCTCTGTTCCTGCTGCTCAGTGATCCCGTGTGAAGAAGGGAGCTAGCAGAGAGGAGACAGTGCGAGGTTGCTGCTTCTGGGATGAGGGGATATGGGAAGCATTTGGGTCTCTTCCTCTTGCAGCAAGCTTTCCCAGTCTAGTTTGATGCAGACTTCCTCCCCAGGTCCCCATCCAGATAAAGCTAGGCAAAAAGCCAGCCCTCACTGGCACCCAGCTTCACCGACAGAGGTTTGGAAAGGGCAATGTGAGCTGTCAAGTTAGAATGGGAAACGAGAGAGCGTGAGCGAGCCAGTGGTGCTTATCTCCAGCCTTCGCCCAAAGCTCCACGCCGCACTAGAAGGCTAAAGTCGTAATTTCTCCCCCCCGCTCACCTGCACATATCTTGGCAATAGGACTGTTTCTCTCTGCCTTCTTTTCCTGTTTTGTCTGCCAGATTAGTGCAGGGGATGAACCTAGCTTTGTTGCCCATTGCAGCTAGGAATCTCAAAGCCGAGAATGAATATTTGTGTTGTAACCAGCCCTGGAACTAGATCGCCCCCCTGGAAAGTCTGTCTCTCAAGGAGACCAGTCAAACTTTTCACATCACTCACTGAGGCAGAGGGTGGGCTGGAGGTGATAGGTGTCCAAGCTAAGTGCCCGAAGAAGCCCAGCTGGCCAGCGGGGAGTCAGGGCATCCCAACACCAGCAGCTCTGCGGAAAAGAAACTGCTTTTTTTGGGGGGGGGGGCGAGCTGAGTTGACGCAGAATTGCATTGTGGCTTCGTGTCATAATGGGCTTCACGAGCAGGATGGGAGCCTGTTTTCCCCATTATGAAGCACATGGGTGAAAACGTTCACTCAATCCATTCCAACTTCACAAGATCTTTTTCTTTTGCCAAAAGTTGGAATGAATTGAGTGAACCACAATGAAGAAATGTGATTGGAGCTGGGCTGGGGCAACTGCGCATGTGCCCACAGAGACGATTCTAGTGCCACGTCTGGCATGCCTGCCATAGGTTCACCATCACAGATCCATAGCAAATTCTTTGACCAACATCCTGAGCCCAAAAGATAGACAAGCCTTTACCCTGCTCAAGTTTGATGGACAACCATCAGCACAGTTAGGTTAATTTTTCAAAAAATGAAAAACTATAAAAACTACTCAGGAAAGCAGTTACACCATTAGATGACAAAGGAGTGAAAAGGGATGTTGAAGCAAGATATAGAGATTGAAGAGATACTGGATGCCCTTTTATAGGATTTTTAAAAAGAATATATATTTATTTTTATATATTAAAACATACTTTTTTAACTTTGTATTTTATATATTTTTTAGCTTTTAAAATTGCTAACTGAATTTTACCCTTCTTATGCTGGTCTATGACCATAACAAAGATTTTATTTTATTTGAGTATTGGAGTAAAATATGTCTTGGGTGGATTATGTTTCTATCCTCTTAAAATATTATTAATTTTGGCTAAAATAAAGCAATTGTATTGTCCTTGATGAGAATATTTTGATGTAAATGTATAGACAGCCTTCTGCAACCTGCAGTCTTAGGGCATAGATGATAATATGGGATAATTATTATTTAGGTCATCAGGTAATTGTGCTAGACTGGTACAAACTGCCTAGAATTGAAGATTTTGATATGCTCTATGTTAAATTTGTCACTAGATGGCACTACAGTTTTATTTGTAACTATGAGTTTAGAAGAATCCATCTGCATGAAATAGATGTGTGGAAAAAAAATGATTGTATACTGTGTTTCATTATGGCTGTGGTGGGGAATTCAGTAGCCAGAGAAATAGCCTTTAGGATCTAGGCAATATTTAGGATGTGAAGACAATTGGGACTTATTTTGTAGTAATAGTGACGATGCTATCCTTTCACTCAAGCAATTCTATAGAACAGCTCCTTCCAATTTTCTTATTGTGTAAGGGCTACTTTCAGTTTTACGCTATGGCTGGTGTCAGCTTTGATGGTGTCTAGCTGCTGTGTTTAGGGTAGTTTGTTAAACTTGTTTTAGAAATATGGGTCATTTGGACTAGAAAATATCTTCCCATTTAAAATTAAAATGTGTCTGATAGAATGGACTTTCCAAATGGTTTAATATTTATGAAATTAGAATTTCACTTTGTTTCTTCAAGGAGAGGGTGTTGATCTGGTTATATTGGAATTATATTTCATATATAGTTACTATTAGTATATTACAGAATCTCCAGCTACATTTTCTAACTTAGAACAGTGGTGCAATTCAAACGGTTCTATCAGGTTCAGCCAAACCATTAGCAGTGGCGTCAGGAGGCTCCGCCCACCCACCCAGATGTCATCACGTCCTGTTTTTGACGATCTGCACATGTGCAGAGATGGGCGCTCACATTTGCAAACTGGTAGTGCAGGTAAGTGAATACCGCCCCTGACCTAGAGTATGTTAAAATAGAAAGCAGAGTATAAGCTAATTCGATAACCATACAGGTGGATAGAGAGATAATAGATCGACAGAAATAGAGACAGAGACAGACAGACATAAAGATAGAGGAGCAGATATCTACCTATCACTTATTTACCTCAAAATATATTTGGGGGCATTTATATGCTTATGGGCATTTCCTTTTATCACTTTCCTGGCTCTTGCTGCCTCTTACCTTATTTAAAAATATTATTTTAACTTGGCTACAACATTTAATATTTAGGATCCAGGACTATGACGACAAATCTATGGCATACCTACCAGAGGTGGCACGCAGAGCCCTCTCTGTGGGCACACGTGCCATTACCAGCTGCTATTCTGGTTTCCAGAGTGCGCATGTATGCCGGCCAGCTGATCTTCGAGCATGCTGGCATGCAGGAACCCCGAAGACCAGCTGCCGGTGCAAATATGCCCGCTGGTCATCTGGTCTTTGGGTTTCCAGTGCTCTGGTGCACACAAAGACCAATTGCCAGGTATGCATACATGCACTGGAAACTAGAAGACCAGATGGCCGGCATGCATATGTACAGAAGCCAGCTGGTCTTTGGGTTTCCGGGGCTCCAGTGTGTACGCTCCATTTTGGGCACTCAATGCCAAAGAGGTTCGCCATCACTGATCTAGGATCTAATATCTAATGTTTTTTCCAAGAATGCCTTTGGACCTCATGTGGTCTCCAGAGGTCTATGCAGAAGATAAAATGGTTCTTTGTCTAGAGAAGGGGTATCAAATTCGGGTCATCATGTTGCCATCACGTGATGTATTGCGACTTCTGCCCCTTCGTTAAAACAGGGATGGGCGTGGCCAATGAGCGATGCATCCGGCCCATGGCCCACAACTTTGACACCCCTGGTCTAGAGGAGTGGCAGACAAAACAGCAAGTAAGCTGGACAGAGTATTTTGGAGACCTAAATGCTGCCTTCTCATAAATGGTTATTTTGCCATAATCCACATAAGGCATTTTGTCAGAATGTTTACCGTGTGCTTGCAAAATTCCAAATTTATTCAAAAGCCTATTATAGTTCTGTTTTATTTATCTTATTTTAAGGGCT